TGCAGAGTAGGGCCAGCCTTGAACCCAGGTCTTGTTAGTAATGGTCGGCGGATCTCCCAGGGAGTCCATCCGAAGCCTCATCAGGGCCAGGAACACTTACAAGAACAGAGACACTTGCACCTCCTGCGGACTCTCCGAAGATGGTCACGGAGCCTGGGTCCCCTCCAAAGTTGGCAATGTTCTCCTGGACCCAGCGCAGCGCGGCCAGCTGGTCTAAGTGACCCCAGTTGCCCCGGCTGTGTTCATCCCCTGTGCTGTGGGTAAGAGAATGGGGGGAGGGGAGGTAGAGTCATCATGGCAGGATTCCCAGGATCATAGCTTGGGCTGGGGCTCTAGGTGAGCCCTCCACAGCCCAGACTCACAGGTGTAGCCTTGTCTGTTTAGCTCTCCATTCAATCACCTGGCATGTACTTACTGAGTATCTGCTATGTGCCAAACACTGTTTTATGAGCCTGAAGCAAAATAGACAAAATCTCTAACTACAAGGAGCTCACACTACAGATCATCAACAAACAAACAGGTACATATCTACTTATATAAAAACCCTGGGTTAAGTTCATCACGACTCGGTCTGGCGACCAAGCTGAAGTAAGTCAGTCCTGCAGGGGTTGTCTTGGCAACGGCTGCACCCTCCCCCAAGCTGTTTCCAGAAGCTGTTTCTGGTGAGGGTGAGGTTTGAGGCAGGAACCCGCCCTCGGTGGACTCACTGAATCCTGGGTCCGTTTGCCAAGGGCTGCTCCCTCCCCAGCTGTTTCCCCTGTGGCCTGAGGGAAGAACCCTCCCTTAGAGCACCAGGAGCGCCCAGCAGCAGTCAGTCCTGGGCTCTGGTGTGGGGAGAGGAGAGACTGGAAGGAGAGAAGGCATAGAGAGCTGATGGAGCAGTTTTAATGTAAAGGGGAGCAGAGAAATGGGCCACAGGGTGTGTTTGTTTGTGAAAGAGATGAAGAGTCTCAATGAAGGTGTTGCATGCTGGGACATGACTCCCCTAATACCCTCCTCCAGCCCTACAGGTCTTTCCAGTGAGTGTCCACCCCACCTCCTGTCCATCAGCCATTGCAGGGTCCAAGGTCCTGGGGCCAGTGCATTGAGAAAACCAGAAACTCTGCTCTAAGGAACCCTGGCTCCTGGCTCCACGGAGACTCCATGGAGAAGACTCTAGCCTGGGCTCATGCATGTGCCAACAGTGGAAGCAAACAGGGCGAGTGACCCTGACATTCCTCCTGAGAGGCTTGTCATCTGGAATTAGATGCTCTGACACCTCCCAGCTCTAGCCACACGTTCCATCACCCAGAAGCATTCACCAAGCTCCCACCCATGTCTGCCCTTCCCTCCTTTCCCATGAGAGGTGAGGTGTTGACCCTGCCTCTCTAACTGCTGTGCTGCTGTCATTCCAGAGGTGTGCTGTGTGCTGTGGCAGCACAGGGAAAAAAGAGGTGAGCATTTCAGAGGCAGGAACGTTTGAGTTGGGCCTTATGGGATGCACAGGAGTGGGTCAAGTAGAACAGGCATTCCAGGCAGAGGGAACAGCGCATGCAGAAGCTCAGAGGCAAGTGGACGAGTGTGGTTGGGAAATGAGAGGGTGTGTGGAGCCCAATTATGAGGGGATTTGGATGCCTTCCTGGGGAACTGACATGACATGACCAGAGCTGGGTCCTGCCACACTCACTTCAAGGGCCCATGTGCTGTGCGGAGTCTAATATCTTACCTGAAGAATCCCCAGATGCCCAGGCGGTACTGAATGATCACCACCACCACGTTTTCATGGGCAGAGAGGGCCAGCCCATAGGTTGATGATGCCCCGCCCACCACCAGACCTCCTCCGTGGATCCACACCATGACAGGAAGGAAGCAACCACACAGGTCACAGATAGGAAGCAGAGCTGGGAAGGACCTCCAAGGGTTGTCTGGTTAATCGGGACTCAAGGAGGCTGTTCTCTGAAGCTCATCAGCCCCCAGCAAAGGTGAGGCAGGCAATTGCTCTCCTCCCCACTCCCCTATACTGGGCCAGGCCACGCCCCACCCATGCACCTGGCTGCCCCTGCCTTCTCTCCAGCCCCAGTGCTGCCTGCTCCCAAGGCTCTTCATGCTGAGAACTGCCTCACAGGAACGGCCAAGGCCAACGGGGTCATCTTCCCCAAAACACTCCCATCATCCTCATTCCTGGGCCCCTCACTCGCTCAGCACACTCTGCCTGGGCAGCCCTTGGATTTCAGCGTCATTAGTCACCTCTGTGCGGTGAATCAAAGTCCTCTCATGTGTGTGAATGACTATCTCAAGAAGCACCCATGCCCCGAGTGGTATCTCTTCCTCACATCCCTCCCTCTGCACCCCAGGGACTGCCCCCAGCAGACCTGCCCCCAGCAGACCTACCCCCACCTTCGGGCTGCCCGTCGCTGGGCCTCTGTGTATAGAGGAAATGTTGCCTCACTGGGACATCGCCCCAGCCAACGACAATTAGGGAGGGAAATTAGCTCAAGAACATCTCAGATATTGAGGCAAAGACAAAGACAAAGGACACGGCTTCTTGGGCTGCCCCCGGCTCCGCCCCCACTCCTCTGTGCCACCCTGGGACAATGGTCAGAGCAGCATCTTTGCGGCTGACAAACACCACCCATTGGCTTGATTGTTCAGAGAACCCTTGCTCTGGTCCAGCCAACCCGACTGGGTGGCCTCGCCTTCCCTGATTTTCTGTCTGTAAAGGGAGGTTGGGGTGTTGCCTTCTCAGTGAGGTTCCTTCAAGCTCTAACTTGACTGGAAAGCATGCCTTAGCTTCTCTGGCAATCACATGCCTAACCTTGCAACTATCAGTAGTCACGCTTGCCCCTCTGTTCGCATGAGAGAACGTGGAAAGAACTGACAATAGGTTACAGATGTACAGCGAAGTCCCCTGGAGGCACCATGACTATCGCTGGGGGAAACTGAGGGATGGAAAACGTGTGTTTCCTGGGGTCACATGGCCTGGCCAGGGAGAGCAAAGGAAGCCCAGGGCCCCCGAAATAGCCGTGGCTGAGATACTCCCCCCACTTCCCCCACCATGCTGACTTCCTCCTCCCCAGTCCACACCAGGAGATCACTCCTACATGGAACGCACACCTTACCGGCAGTCTGCTCTTCCTGCTCAAGTCGGCGGGAGTGTAGATGTTTAGGTAAAGGCAGTCTTCGGAGAACTTGAGAGGAATGTTCTCCTTTCTGAAGGAAAAGAGCTCCGAGAGAACCTGGGCTGACATGGCATCTTGGGAGCACCTGGGGTGTGGAGGGGCAGAGAAATATACTCAGGTTCAGCCGAAGTTCCAAACAGAGCTGAGGCCTGGGAGCTCTGTGCCTGTGCAAAGCTGCTCTTACCAGAGATAAGACGTTGAGTGGGTAGGAAGCCATGAGCAGGGGCCCTGGGCCTCACTAAAGCCTCCCAGCATCATGTATAGCGAGAAGGCCTGGCTCCTCTCCTTGTCCTGGCAATTTCGGATGCACCAGATCAAGGACATGAGTCTGCCTAGCTATTGCCCACCTGGGTGATGGTCGTCCTGCTCACGCTGGACACAGCCCGGCTCTGGGCTGGGCTCCCACAGAGGGTGCAGTGGGGCCGTGCGCCTCCACCAGGTAACCCATTTGGTCGAGTCCTCAGGAGACTCCCATTCACTCAAATGGCAGCAGACGGGTGGGGCCTGTGACAGGTCAGGGGTCTAATATTTGCAGGGCGACATCAGGAGAACTGCTGCCGCCCCTGGTTTCTGAGGTGACCCTGAGTGAATCCCTTCCTTGCTCTGGGCCCCCATCTGCCAGGTCTGAGTGAGGGGAGTGGTTTCTGGAAGTCTTGCACCCCTGACATGCTAAGAGTCTATCACATACCCATCCGTCTCAGGCAAGTGCTGTTGCTTGCCCTAATAACAGATTGTGAGCAGCCGGCACAGATGACAATTGGCGAGTCCTCCCAGGGAGTCAGGCATTCACTACTCCTTGTGACCAGGTAACTAGACACACCTGGGAACTAAGAACTTGCCAGGTCTACACCCCAAAGCATTCCCACCCACACAACCTCCTGGCTCACCCCACTCTCCAAATATAGCAAAGTCCAAGTCAGGAGAATAAATAGAGTCAGTACCCCTGATTCCCCATCAGCTGCTTAACTAAAAAAAATTTTTTTCCAAAGTACAGTGGGACCTTGACTTACGAGTGTCCCGACTAACAAGTTTTTCAAGATAACGAGCCATCTCTCAGCCGATTTTTTGCTTTGAGTTCCGAGCTAAAATTCAGGTCAGATACCCCACCACTAGTTGGCGCAGCGAACATCACAATGAAGGGTACAACATCAGCGAACTTCACAGTGAAGGCCACATCAGCCTGATTTGACATACGAGTAATTTGAGTTACGAGATCCGTCACGGAATGAATTAAACTCATAAGTCAAGGCCCCACTGTACTTATCCTATTCTAACATATTACATAACTAGAGGCCCGGTGCACAAAAATTTGTGCACTCTGGGAGGTCCCTCAGCCCGGCCTGTGCCCTCTCACAGTCTGGGACCCCTCAGGGGATGTCCACCTGCTGGCTTAGGCCGGGGGAGTGGGCCTAAGCTGGCTATCAGACATCCCTCTGGCAGCCTGGGAGCCCTCAGGGGATGTCCACTTGCCAGCGGGAAGCAGGCCTAAGCTGCAGTGGGACATCCTTAGCACTGCTGAGGAGGTGGAAGAGGCTCCAACCACCACTGCTGTACTGGCAGCCATTAGCCTGGCTTGTGGCTGAGCAGAGCTGCGCCTGTAGGAGTGCACTGACCACCAGGGGGCTGCTCCTGCATTGAGCGTCTGCCCCCTGGTGATTAGTGTGTGTCATTGTGACCTGTCATTCCCAGTCGTTCTGCTTTTAGGGTCAATTTGTATATTACCCTTTTATTATATAGGATAGAGGCCTGGTGCACAGGTGGGGGCCAGCTGGTTTGGCCTGAAGTGTGTCCCGGATGACTGTGGGGGTCCCGCTGGGGTGCCTGGCCAGCTTGGGTGGGGGGCTGAGGGCCGTTTTCAGGCTGGCCACACCCCCTTCAGGGTGGGGGGTCCCCACTGGGGTTCCTGGCCAGCCTGGGTGAGGGGCGGATGGCTATTTTCAGGCTGGACCCACCTCCCGGTGACCCAAGTTCCGAGCCTCTCCTTTTTTTCCTTTTTTTTCCTGGGGTTTATTTATCTTCTATAATTGAAACTTTGTAGCCTAGAGCGGAGCCCAGGGCCAGCAGGTCAGGCGGGAAGCTTGACTTCCTCCATCGCTGGGGGCAACCCAAGGCTCCTGCTCACTCCAGCTCCGTGGCCACAGCCATCTTAGTTGGGTTAATTTGCATAGTAACGCCTGATTGACTTATGGGCATGGCTTGTGGGTGTGGCTAGAGCATAGCAGAGGGACAGTTAATTTGCATGTTTCTCTTTTATTATATAGGAGGTATGTATTAATTTGCATATTGTTTATCATCTATCTCTTCCAGCTGGAACACAAGCTCCATGAAGGTAGGAATATCTGTTTCCTTCGCTAATGGAGCCCAGGAACCTAGAACATGCCTGGCACACAGTAGGTGCTCAATAAATACTTGTTGGATAAAAGTTTCTAGCATGCTATGGGAGTTCTGGAATTTGTTGTTGTTGTTTAAAAACAAAATTTTATTGATTTCAGCCGAAACCGGTTTGGCTCAGTGGATAGAGCCTCGGCCTGTGGACTGAAAGGTCCCAGGTTCGATTCCGGTCAAGGGCATGTACCTGGGTTGCGGGCACATCCCCAGTGGGAGATGTGCAGGAGGCAGCTGATCGATGTTTCTCTCTCATCGATGTTTCTAACTCTATCTCTCTCCCTTCCTCTCTGTAAAAAATCAATAAAAATATATTAAAAAAAACAAAAACATAATTTTATTGATTTCAGAGAGGAGGGAAGAGGGAAAGAGAGAGATAGAAACATCAAAGATGAGAGAATCATTGATCAGCTGCCTCCTGCACACCCTTTACTGGGGATTGGGCCCACAACCCAGGCATATATCCTGACCGGAAATAAAACTGTGACTTCCTGGTTCATAGGTTGACGCTCAACCACTGAGCCACGCGGGCTGGGCTGGAATGTTTTTAAGTATCTACCGTATCTTGAGGATCCAGAACAATGGAGAAGGCACTCAGAGGTGTGCCCTGGTGCTTGCCCGCATCCCTTTGAGGCAAACGTTCCACTAAAAGATGCCAACACTTACATAGGAGGGTAGGAGGTGGCATTCTTCACGAAGGTCCATGGCTCTGCAGGCTGCGGAGGAGCAAACCTCAGGGGTCCGAGCGGCGGCTTGGCAAAGGGGACTCCCAGGAAAACGGCCACGGGCTGTGCAAAGCCTTCTAGGCTGACATACTCCCCCAGGACCTGGCCCTGCA